TGGGATTTTGCATTGCGAGAATCTGGGTGTTACTGCAGCTGCTGGACAGGGAAGCACTACCACGGGGACATTTCATCACCAAAGCTTTCCCTACACTCAGCTAATACTCTCTCAAATCAACTCTCCACCAATTCCTGAATTACTATTAGACCAATAGCCTCCGTACTGATGTTGCTTTTCAAACTGTACCTCAAAGCTTTGTTTTTCATTTTGTCAATAAATCTTTCTAGTTTCTGGCTGATTACTGTCACTTATGTCAACACAACATGCCACTTTCTTCAAATCTTGCTTCTTAATCGTTCCTCTTGAACAACCCCTGTGCAGCAGTAGTCATGGTCTCTCTAATTTCATTTTTTTACGTTTACTTTTGCTCCTTTATAATAAACTGTCTTTTACTGGTACTGTTAAAACTTTTCCTTCTTTTTGAATTTAATAGATAAGATGTTAAGAATGGACATAAAACACCTCAAAATGAAACCACAAATGTGTCACTAATAAGCAATGTGTCACTCAAGACAGAACTAATTGAGGGTAGCACCTGTAGGTCAAAGGAGTAAGGTGCCGGCCCCATATGCCAGAGGTGGCAGGTTTAAACCCAGCTCCGGCCAAAAACTGCCAAAAAAGAAAAACGAATTGGGTACAATTAGTAAAGCTATTTTTAAAGTTACAGGCAAAGACTGGTTTGGTGCTTCATCCATGAATCCATGAAACCTATTAAAGTATAAGTTTATAAGCTAGAGGAGTTTATTTAACTGAATAAAAGAAAAATGATTTAATATTTCCCAGTCCCGGTGGTTTTCCAATCTGCTAGGTACTAAGGCACTTTAGTCTATAATCTCTGCAGATTTGATCATCTGATCATTTACCTTGTACCAGTTACTACTTCTTGGAGGTAGACGAGAGCTTGATAGACAACATGCCCCTTTCTTACTTTTCTGAGACGTAAGACACTAGAGTCAGCATAAAGAGTCCAGACGTGACTTTTATTTCTGGGCAGGCTGATGAAGCACATGGCTTATATTCACGGGCAAGCAGAACTCCTAATATTGAGCCTCAGATTCAGACTTGCCTATGCAGTCACAAAAAGTATTGAGCCACCTCGGCAGACTGTCCTTATTAGGCAGAATGAAAAAATGGTCTGCAGTGGATGAAGAAAAGAAAAGAGCGCAGGACCCAACGGCTTATTTTCCATCTCACTAATCATCATAGTCATCTCTTCTCCACCAAGAAGGGCTGGAGGTGTTATACTAGTGGAGGAACTTCCTCCACGTGGAAGAAAGCCTCAAGAGTGGAGAAGAAGTGTTTCCCCAATCATAAGCTAAGCACTTTGTCGTATTCAATCCCCACAACAAAAAAATCAGTATTGATTGAGTGTCTGCTGTGTGCCATCCATTGCTGTAGGTGCTGGGAATACACAACTTAACAAGACAGGGGCAATTCTTATCAGGCCTAGTACTTGTACCACCCACCTCATTCCTTCATCCAATTCCAGCCCTATCAGAGCCTGTATTTATCTAAAATTTTGAATTTTGTTCCGCACTTATTTTTTTCACTAACTTCAAATTTTCAAATATTCTATTAAAATATTGCTTACCTTACTTAATTACTGAGTTTTGGGTTCCCCCTTAAATTCTGCACTTGAGGTGAATGCCTTATTTGCTGTCCCCTAATCCTATCCCTGGTTTTAAAATAAACTTGTAAACAAATAAGTCAATAAATAAGTTTATTGGCTCGCCACCTGTGGCTCAAGGTGCCAGCCACATACACCTAAGGTGGTGGGTTCAAATCCAGCCCGGGCCTGCCAAACAACAATGACGGCTGCAACCAAAAAATAGCCAGGTGTTGTGGCGGGCACCTGTGGTCCCAGCTACTTGGGAGCCTGAGGCAGGAGTTGAGCCCAGGAGTTGGAGGTTGCTGTGAGCTGTGATGCCACAGCACTCTACCCAGGGGGACAGCTTGAGGCTCTGTCTCAAAAATAAATAAATAAATAAAAATAAGATAAATAAGTTTATTAATTAAACAAGTATTACATTTTCTAATGTGTATTAAGCTGACACAGGATATGTGACAGTCAGTGATTGGATGGGTAACTTGAATAGTCATCTTGTGGGAGTTACTTAAGCTGAGACAGGAATGTCACGAAAGAGGCAGGGAAAGGACAGTTTAGAGAGAAAAGCTGGTGAAAAGACCTCAAGGTAGAAATTTTGAAGGAAGACTAAAAACAAACAAACAAAAGGCTAGTATGGCTTGAGTGTCAAGGACATGATAAGTTACTAATTGATTTGGATTCAGTGTCAGGAAGGGTTCAAATTTTGAGACATTCTAAGCTGGGCAAGGAGTTTGAATTGTGTTCTGAGTGTGCAGGAAGCAACTGGAAGATTTTAAGCAGGGAAACAATGTGATCTGATCGATCTTTTAAATAATTCTCTCTGCTGCTGTGGCAAGGATGGATTATAGGGGTGTGGATGGCAAAAGAGTAGAACCAAGGGGAACTGTCAGTGTTTCTAGTGAATGATGATGGTGACTAGGACTAGTGTGATTATCCTGAGGAAGTAGAAAGGTGAGCAGCTTCCAAAATACTTTAGGATTGGACTTGATGGGTAAGTACTGGAAGATGAGGAAAAGAGAAAAACCAGGGGTGATTTCAAGTGTCTTAACTTGAGCAACTTGGTGGATGGTAGTGCCATTTATGGAAATGAAAAAGACAGGATGAACAGGTTAACAGGTGAGTATGCAATGAATTTTTAAATTTTGTGTATGTTGGTTTGAGTTGCCTGTTGGATACATTTTGAGTATGCAACTGGTATGAAAGAGCCAGGGAGGAAGGACAGGGCTGAGACAGGAGATAGAGGACAGGAGATAGAGCACGTCTGGAGAAGAGCAGGAGGCTGGGATGCACTGTTGGGGCAGCTGTTGCAATAGAAGTGACGAGGGGGTAGGGGGAAATAGTATGGAGTGCTCGAAGGTGAAGGAGCTAAGAAAATTTCACCCCAAAATATGATTCCTTGGTATAAAGATTATTTTGAATTAAAAGCTATTCATAATCAGGAAATTCTGAACAAAGACTTTCCTCTATCTACCTAAAATCTTAAAGGGCTGCTAGACTCCTTATCACATGCTAATAGAACTGGCCCTAAGGTCATTTGAAGCACAATACTTGCCTCTCAGGTTAATTTACTAATCAATGTTTCCCTCCATCTACCCATCCCCCCCTTAGCAACCTCTTGCTCCAGTTTCTCTCCCCCCCTTCCAAAAGGCATCTTTAAAAGCCAATTACTATCACTGAAACTTTGGGAAATCATTCTTGTGGTTCCTCCCATTTGCATGGTGTTTGGAAATAAACCTTTCTCTTATTAATCTACTATAACTGTGAGTTGATCTTTTCAGCAAACCAACCTAGGGGAAAAGAGCAAGTTTCCCTGGGATTCCCCTTCAAAATGTTACACCAAGGAGTCCCCCAAAGACCACACCGCTAGACAGGTTGAATTAAAGAGGAGTCCTTTTATTAGAGAGCCGGCCGGGTGACTGCCTCAGTGTTCCAACATGGGGTTTCTGAGTGCAGCCCTGAGTTGTCTGAGGCTATGACTTTTATACGGCAAAACTTTTCCAGGGGGCAAGTAAGCATAGTTACAAAAGGGAAAAACAGCAGTTGGGGAAATTACCGAGAGAGGCCGCTTAGTCAGTTTACAGTGCTATAATCCTATAATCGCAAGAGCACTTAGTAATTCTTTTTACAAAACAAATACAATCTACAATTGTATAACAAATACAAACTACAATGACCTAAGGTAGTGTAGGGAGGAGGACTCGTAGGTAGGGGGGTCAAAAACAACATCATCAAAAAAAAGTGATAATCACCAAGAATATAATCAAGAGTGCAGTCAGTCATCTTCATCACTAACCATTTTACTTGAAGACATTCACAGTTATACAATAAGAGGGCAAATAAGAGGAACCAGTTTCAAAGGTAATGGAATATAACAGAAAAGGAGTAAACAGTAAAGTGGAATCAAACTTGCTTTTTTAACATTTCCATACCATATACAGATGGCTTGAAGACCAACTTAACATAATCATGAGCATTGTTGTCCCAAAAGTAGTTAGTGAGTTTCTACACAATACTAATAATTCTAACAGTTCTAACCAGGTACACTTAAAATACCATGCAAGGAGTGGGGAGGCAAGTGGAACCAGTTTTTTTTTTTTTAAAGCAAAAGAACACCAGAATGGATTTGCCTTCCCACTGATTCTAAAGGAGAAGAATTATATGAAAATGGAGTTAGGCTTGCTTTTCTTTCACCTTATCAAAAGGCAAGAGAAGAATGTGTCTTAGGGAAGGAATGATTAACTGCATTGAGAGCCACTGAGAAGTAAAGAAAAGATCAGAGCAGAGAAGTAACAAGAGCTATTGGCAACATGGACGCCACTGGGGACTTGCAAGAGGGCTATTTCCTTCCGAGAGTAGGGCCCAAAGCCTGATGTAGGTCAGAGAGACAGCAGAAAATAAGAACGTCAAGACAGTTCATTCTTATTGCCATTTTATCAATGGAAAAACGGAGGCTTAGAATGTTTGACTTTCTCATCCAAGGTCAAAACCACTAGGGTCAGATCCTGGACCCAGAGTCCATAAAATGATTTCTTAGAGGGAGGTGCACACTATCGATGCAGGACATTCATCCAACTCTCTTCCAAATCGTAAAAATCAAAGCTTCACTCAAACAAGCCCTTAACTAAAGTCATCATCCTTCCACCATGCCACTTTTTTCCGAGCCTGGAAGCAGCTTCCTGGGACATAGTGTAATGCGGTAAGACTCGCCCCCTTTCTGCAGGGTGAGCGTGGCGCGGTCTACTGCGGCTGCGCAGACGTGGGGCGCGCGGGCGCGGGCAAGGGAATGGCGCGAGAGCGCGCGCGGGCGGGCGCGCGGGGGGCGGGAACACGGAAGGGGCAAAGGCTGCAGCACTGGGGCCGGGGGAAGGACGGGGGCGGGGTCGGACAAGAGTGTGCGGGGCAAGCGGGTGACAGGTGCTGCGGGCTGTAGGAGCGGGTGGAGGGCGGCGGCTGCCACGCGAGGCCCGAGGGGAGGAGGCTGGCGACGGCGATGCTGGAGACCCTGCGCGAGCGGCTGCTGAGCGTGCAGCAGGATTTCACCTCCGGGTGGGTATTACGGTGGGCGACGGGAAGGGACCCGCTCGGGATGCCCCCACTACCTCCCTTTCCGCACCGCGCTCCGGGTCCAGTCTCGCTCCCCCCCCCCCCCCCAGCGGAAAGTAACGAACTTCCCGGCGTCCGCGCGCCTCGCGGTGCAAAGTAACTTAGGTCCCAACGGGCTGGCTCTGGCAAACCCCGGCAGGACCCAGAGGTGGTCGGCGACGCCGCGGACTGCGCCGGGCATGCGTGGGACCCCCTGGGCTCCCCCCCCTGGCAGGAGCAGCAGGGCCCAGGAGGGGAGTCATGTGAGAGGCGGTCACGCCTCCTGCTTCCGCCTGAGTGGGATAGTGGCCCTGTGCCCCTCGACCCCTCCAACGCCTCCGACACCTGCCGACCGCCCACCTGGACCTGGGTCCGCCGCCCCCTCCCCAGGCCGGAGGATCGGCCCGCGCCGTAGCTTACCCCGGCCTGGGGCCGAGCCTGCGCGCCCCGTCTCAGCGCTCAGGTCCGGCTCGCCGGCCTAACTCTTCGGCGAGGCTGGCCGCCTCTTCCCTTCTGCGTTCTGTGTCCACCTTTGCCCGGGGTTTAACACCTAGGTGAGGGAACTCTTGGGCAAGAGAAACAGTCGAACTAGAGCAGTCCTGTTAATAATCCTCTTAACGAGCACAGAGGTTCCCAAACTTTGCTTAGAACCTCCTGGGAACGTTTACAATCCCGATGTCCTGGTCACACCTTGTGCCAATTAAACCAGAATGTCTGGAGATGGCATTTTAAAGCTCTCAAGGTGATTCCTTTGTGCAGTAAAGTCTGGAAACCAAAGGCCTAGACTCTGACACCAGACTGCCTAGATACTCATCCTGGCTCTACCACTTAACCTAACGTATTCCGCCAGTTATTGGAACTGTCTTGCCTCATTTTACTGTTCTGCTACGGTGAAATGGGTATAATGATACTTAAGAGAGTCCTTTCAAGGTTTAAGGAATTCACATGTAAAACAAGAAGTCACTGTTGTTATAACTTAGCACTTAATTCACTTTTATTTTTTCATTACCTTAGAAAGGGTGCCACCTTTATAAAGGATCTGTCACTTTTAGCTTGCAAATCGTTTTGGAGAATGCTGTGAATGTTAGAGGTTCCTAGACGTACTATGTTTTAAATTTCTAAAGAGAAAGATGTTAACCAACATTTTACCTTTTGGGTACTAAAGTGTTCATACTATTTGCCTGTTTGGTGTTGATAGTAACAAACTGTCAGATGCCGTAGTGCTTACCACATGTAAAAACATTTTTGTTAATTTTAGTTTGGTGTTCTTTAGAATGTTAGTTATCTCTATGGAAGCATCTACAGATGCTCTATAGGAGTCATTCATTGGTGGGTGTGCTTGCATGCGAGCATTTTTCCTCCTGATAAATTTAGAAAAATAACTTCAGAGTGTAAATCACTGTATTGAAAAGTTTTGGTGTGATGCTGAAATGAGCGTGGCTATAGATAACTCATCTGCATATACTTCTGTTACCATTGCATAAAGTAGTTCCTTCATGGCTTAATTGTCCTGTCATTGGATAGTTACTATAACTGTCCAGCTCACAACCATTTGTGTTACTTATCTTTGCTTCAGAAGGTCTTATGTAGGAATGTGGACTTTGGTCTAGGCTTTTGGACTGCCCAGCCCCAAAACATCCTGGGAGATTGGAGTGGACTCACTCAAAATAATCCTTTTTTTTTGCAGTATTTGGCTGGGGCCTGGTTTGAACCTACCACCTCTGGTACATGGGGCCGGTGCCCTACTCCTTTGAGCCACAGGTGCCACCCCAAAATGTCCTTTTTTATAATAGCTTAAAAAAGATTTGAAAGACTGTGTGCTCAGTTTTGCCTAGTCTTTACTGAGGGTGTCTATGTATTGGGCTCGATGCTGGGGCTACAAAATAGTAGACAAAATAATTAGTCTCTGTCCTCTGGATGCCCTAGACTGGTGGTAATATAAAGTGAAGCAGAAGGAACTGCATGTTAGATACAAATGGTGTGGTATCTGAGCCCAAGGAAGAGCCATTAATTTGGATGCCTTTACAGAATGTGTCAAAGGAGTAAGAGGCTTCTGAAAGTGGGCCTTGAAGAATGTGGAGAAATTATGATAGATTTGGGTAAGAACATTTCAGAGACAGAAGCAGTAGTGGGAGATGAAGCTGGGAAGGAAGTTTAGTGCCTGATAATAGCAGATCTTCAATGTTTTGTTTAATTAATTAATGCATCAAATATTTACTGAACGCTTACCGTATGGCAGGCATTATTTTAGGTGCTGAGGATGTAACAGAGAACAAGCCAGGTGGCAAATAAGATCCCTACTCGCATTCTAGTGGCAGGAGGTAGAATATCTAGAAGGTCAAAAATTCTATGTCTAAAAAACAAGTTAAGGGAGCAGTTGCCTTCCTGTATTTCTGGAAGGATGATGTGGGAGGCAGTGTGATGGGAAGATTTAGGGATGGGGAAACATGGAGGTTATTTCGGAGGCTGTAATTACAGGCCAGGTGAGAGATGATAAGGGAGTACTGATAGAAATTTAAAGGACAGACCCTGGTCAACTTTGGCAGTGGTAGGTTATAGAAGGTGAAAAAGGTGAAGACATTGAGAATGTTAGTTTGGGGATATTTTAGGCAAATGTCATATACCAACATAAAAGGATTTAAGGGTAGATTTGAAAGAAAAGGAGCTGTTGACAGTCAATTTGCTGTGCAGTAACAGCTTGACATCTGAGAAACAGTTGGAAATTTAAAATGCACTGAGGAGAGGGGTGAGAACTGGAAACTGTATTTGGGGTTAATTTTATATATACATACACACACACACACACATATATATATATATATATATATAATTTTTTTTTTTTTTTTTTTTTTAGTGACAGAGTCTCACTTTATTGCCCCCAGTAGAGTGCTGTGGCATCACAGCTCACAGCAACCTCCAGCTCTTGGACTTAGGTGATTCTCTTGCCTTAGCTTCCCAAGTAGCCAGGACTACAGGCACCCGCCACAATGCCCAGCTACTTTTTTATTGCAGTTTGGCTGTGGCCGGGTTTGAACCCACTACCCATATGGGGCGAGCGTCCTACTCACTGAGCACAGGATTCGCCCTATTTGGTGTTAATTAGGATAAGGATAGTGTAGAGTGATTATTCTCCCTTTCCTGAGTCTGTGCAGTTTTTGCATGAATTTCTCAGGCCTTGAACCTGAGGGGTCATTTGCACTGTTAAGTGTGATGGATGCTTTTGCTTTCCCTGATTGTTTAAGGTGGGAGAAGGGGCTTGAGTAACACTAATGCGAAAATATGATAGATTATAGTTAAAAGGAATTAAGCTTTATGACAAAATATACTAATTAATACGTTTTTGTGGTGTTTTACAGTGGTCATCCTCATGTCATTTCTAACAGCTGAAGATGGTTGACAGCTGGAGATTTAGGTACAAATAAATGAAATGCAATCTAGGTTCCCCACACTGTTGGGTCAGCCAGCACATCATTCATTGTAATGCTCAAGGCATCATTCTGATTATCTACTTCTTTTATACTTTTTATCTGAGCAGTTTTGCTAATCACCTTCATCTCTTAGTAAGATGCTTCCACTTTAGTATTTTCTACAAAGCTTGAAGAAATAAATGTGCTAGTGTCAAATTAAGGTTAAATCTTTGGAGCCATCTAAAAATAAAATTATTGAACTGGTGTGATGAATTTGAGGTTTAGTTCTTTGAACTTGAAAGTTGTCTTTAGTAGAAATTGTCAGATGGCTCCCTGAAGTCTGTATATTAATATGCTCATGTAGCAGTCCTTATGTCTTCCTAGAGGTATATGGTTTTAGGGGAAAGATTAACATGGGGCTGGGCAAATCTTTTATAAGAACTGGTGCATTGAGAACCTCTACTTATTTCACCCTGGCCAGGTAATGTAGTATGTGGCTTCTCAACTTTCTTTTTTTTTTTTTTTTTTTTTTTTTTTTGAGACGGAGCCTCAAGCTATCCCCCTGGGTAGAGTGCCGTGGCATTACAGCTCACAGCAACCTCCAACTCCTGGGCTCAAGCGAGTCTCCTGCCTCAGCCTCCCAAGTAGCTGGGACTACAGGCGCCCGCCACAACGCCTGGCCATTTTTTGGTTGCAGCCATCATTGTTGTTTGGCGGCCCGGGCTGGATTTGAACCCTCCACCTTAGGTGTATGTGGCTGGCGCCTTAGCCACTTGAGCCACAGGCGCCGAGCCTTCTCAACTTTCTTGATAGTGATAATTTTTATTATACCTTTCATTTGAATTAGATTTATAGTTTGCAGAATTCCACCAAGGTCATATTGGGAATTTTATTGAATTCTTGTGGCAAATCTTTCTGGTTGTGTATTATGCTACCATTTTACATTTGAGGAAACTGAAGTAGTCCTACTAGGTTAGTATTTCCTTCCCAGCATGTTGTGATGTTGTGAGAACTAGTGAATAGACTTTATGTGTGGGTTGTTTCTAGCACAGGGTCAGTGTCAGAAACTTGAATTATACGAAAATAAAAATGGTAGGTCACTTTCAGGTTTTGAGGATATATTTTATTTTATATTATATATTATGTTTATTTATTTAGACAAAGTCTCATTCTGTTGCTCTGGGTATAGTGCCATGGTATCATTGTAGCTCATAGCAACCCCGAACTTTTGGGCTCAAGAGATCCTCTTGCCTCAGCCTCTTGAGTAGCTGGGATTAGGCACCTGCCACAACACCCAGCTAGTTTTGCTATTTTTAGTAGAGATGGGCTCTCACTCATGGTCTTGAAGCAAATACTCCTGAGCTCAAGCATCCACCCATCTTGGCCTCCCAGAGTGCTGAGATTACAGGTGTGACCCACCATGCCTGGCTGAGGATATATTTTAAAGAGGACCTTTTTGGAGTTTTGTTACTGTGACCTTTTTTTACTATTTTTATTATTTTTTTTTGTCTTAAGAATAATAGTCATTTTAACTTTTCATCTTTTTCTCTCTTAACCTTTCTTGACTGTTTCCAACTTCCCTCTGGCAGCTTTATGCTTTCTGTAGCAGTTTCTATTGTTAATTTTGGCATATTGGTGATTTATTTGAAGAAGAGGTGCTGAGAAAAGATGAATAGCTGAAAGACTGCTTTTGTTGCTAAAATTTTTTTTACAAAGTTTCAAATATACACAAAAATTGAATAAAGCAATGTACTATAATAGCTAATAAAATTAACACTAATTCTTTAATATTATCAATTGTGCAATCCATTATCAGATTTCCTTGGTTCTTAGAAATGTCTTTTTACAGTTGGTTCATTAAAATCCAGATCAAATAAGTTCCGCACATTACATTTGGTTAAAGACCAATTTTTAAAACAGATGGTTGTTAAAGCGTCATGTGGGGAAGCACTTATTGAATCTTTCAACAATTTTATTTTCAGCTCCTTCTTTCCCTTTTCTTCCAAACTAATTTTTTTCTTTTTTGATGGGGGAGAGAACCCCAGACTTGGCATATTATAATTGAGAAATTAGAAGTTTATTTTAGGATTAACTATTTGAAACACCAATATAGAGATTTGCTAGATTATATAATTGGAGTAGTCAAAAGCGGATTTTTAGGAATTCTTTTCACTCTTAAATGTGTAGAATTGTCCTGAGTCACTAAAAATAACCCTAGAATCATTTTGAGTATGATTTACTGCTGTGTATAACTATCATAGGATAATTTTGTCTGGGATGTCACAACTAAATGCCTTTCTCAAATTCTGGAGTGGAAATAGTAGAGCATGGACATTTTTTCCCAGCTCTTGCTTTCTCTTGGTTTAAACCAGATTTACTAGTTTCTAAGATCAGTTTAGAAATTTATTTTGTTTTTCTGGGAAATTAGACTTTCACACAATTTCCTAGATTCATCTAGGGAGATGCATTTACTGGTTTTGTGTTAAAAATATGGCTGAATATTTTGAAACTTGTAGAGAAATTAATCTCATCAATATTTCTTTTTTGAAAAAGATCATAGAGTAGCACGGTGCCTATGGTTCAAGGAGTAGGGTGCCAGCCCCATATACCAGAGGCAGCCGATTCAAACCCGGCCCCAGCCAAAAAAAAAAAAAAAAAAAGAAAAAAGATCATAGAGTAATATGAAACTCTTTGCATGAAATTTGCATTCTAATTTGTTTTAAAGATTATATTTGATCAGCAGTCCCCTTTTGTTGCTTTACAGGCCTTATTGACAGAAATGATGGAATCCTGTGTTTGGGCTTGGGTGGATAGTTATGAAGATTGTGTGTTATGTGATACAGGGTTGAGGCATTTGCATGTGAGTCAGCCTGTATGTATGTTAGGACTCTTTCTGGCTGATAGTAGTAAAGTGTCTTGAAGGGAAGGAGCACCTATTTTCTATTTTTACAAAGATTTTGTGGAGGCCTATGTTTTGGTTGGTATTTAGAAATAAACATATGGTGGCATAGTTAAATTAATAAGAATCTATACAGCAATTTTATACAAGATTGTCTCATACTTTAGCACTTCCATTATCTGTTACAGAGTCTGCAGCCAAGAGAAAGTAAAACCACATCAGTGAAGCGAAAATAAATTGTACTGTTTATGATATAAGGGTATTTTCTATTTAGGCAAGCCTATTAATTTAATTATGTACAGATGTGGTTCTAGCCTCCTTATCTGTTTTCCAGCTCAATAATTAAAAAACAGCAAACAGAAGGGAGGAGGCTTCTCACTCCTCCTCTTAAATAGCTCACAAAAGCAGTAAGTGATAGCTGATAACCAGATGACCAGTGGTGGAGCCAAAAATGTAGAAAAAATAGACACAAAGGCCAAACACAAATGAGCCTATCATAGATTGGTTGGTTCAGGTTAGTAAGTGTAGATGCACTTCTAGGTTAGAAGTATCTGAGGAGAGTACTATTTGGCTGCAGAATGTAGTTAGTAATATCTTTTCTTTTTATTTGACATCAGTGTCTCCCTCTGTTCCCCAGGTGGGAATACAGTGACCTCATCATAGCTCACTGCAACCTGAAAAGCTTGGGCTAAAATGATCCTCTTGTCTCAGCCTCCCAAATAGGTGGGACTACAGGTGTGCAGAATCACACCCAGCTAATTTTTCCATTTTTTGTAGAGTCTGAGTCACTATTGCTCAGGCCGGTTTTGAAATTCTGCCCTCAGGTAGTCCTCCCTGCCTTGGTCTCCCACAGTGCTAGAATTACAGGCACCAGCCGTTACACCTGTCCTGGAGTGTTCTTAATAATGAGCTGGAGTTATCAGAAAGAGTTAAATGGATATATCAAGACCAATTTAATGAAGAAGTTTATGATATATTTTAAAAAGCTTTTTATCAATGAAAATTTCAAATACTATGAGTACTTGAAGAGATTTGAATGCTTGGGATAGTATCTACTTAATAAAGTGTGATACTTACACATCTTTGTTATTTAGTTCACTTATGTGGACCACTATTTTTTGTAAAGATGCCAGATAAATTAGCTTTTTCTGGTCTGCTTACATTTAGGAATCATTGTTTCTACAAAAGATACTTTGGGCAAGTAAAACTATAATGGTATCTAGCATGGTAAACACACAAATATTTGTTGTTTGTAGAGCTGCTTAATTCTTTTTTTTTTGGCCGGGGCTAGATTTGAACCTGCCACCTCTGACATATGGGGCTGGCACCCTACTCCTTTGAGCCATAGGCATGATCCTTTTTTTTTTTTTTTTTTTTTTGGAGACAGAGCCTCAAGCTATCCCCCTGGGTAGAGTGCCATGGCCTCACAGCTCACAGCAACCTCCAACTCCTGGGCTCAAGCGAGTCTCCTGCCTCCGCCTCCCAAGTAGCTGGGACCACAGGCGCCCGCCACAACGCCCGGCTGTTTTTTTGGTTGCAGCCATCATTGTTGTTTTGGCGGGTCTGGGCTGGGGATTCGAACCCGCCACCTTAGGTGTACGTGGCTGGCGCCTTAGCCGGTTGAGCTATAGGCGCCGAGCCTGATCCTTTTTTTTTATTGAGACAGAATTTTACTTTGTTGTTCTAGCCTAGAGTGCCGTGGCATCAGCCTAGGTCACAGCAACCTTAAATTCCTGGGCTCATGTCATTCCCTTGCCACAGCTTCCCTGAGTAGCTGAGAGACTACAGGCATGTACCACTGCACTTGGCTAGCTTTTTCTGTTTTTAGTAGAGACAGGGTCTGACTCTTGCTCAGGCTGATCTTGAACTCCTGAGCTCAAGCAGTCCACCTTCCTCGGCCTCCCAGAGTGCTAGGATTACAGTAGTGAGCCACTGTGCCCAGCCTTAATTTTTTTTTGTTTTTTTATTAAAAATTAGCTTATCTGACTTAAAATTTTAACATGTGAAAATTTGTGGTTGAAAAATATCTTTACATGTAAAAATATTATATTTTATACTTGTTGAATTATAGGTTGAAGACTTTAAGTGACAAGTCCAGAGAAACAAAAGTAAAAAGCAAACCCAGGTAAGCTTATGCTAAGATTTTGATTTATCATGACTTAAATATCATGCAAAGTTTGCTTGTATTCATAGTAGTATAATTACTTTCATGGGTTTTAGATCTGTTCCGTACATCTAACTACAAAACAATTTATTGATTCTTTCTAAATTTTATATCAGGAAAATTTTCTGATAAAATTGTGAAATGGTTAAAAAAATTGGTGAAGTATAATTGTTTCTTACCCCATGACAATCAGTGGCTATTGTTTGATCACAATTAATCATTTTTAATTTTTATATTAACAGCAAAAGTAAAAGTTGTGCATTATTGGAAAACAAATTAATAATAGTACATAGCCTTCTTAGCTATGTTACCTGTTTTATATGAAAATGAGAGTATTAAAAATTTCTTTTCATAAAGTATGTGACCAAAATTTACTTTTAACCTAGAAATAATGAACTTTGATCATATATATTTATTCTTATCACCCAGCATTATATTAAAGTGTTTATTTTATATGCTAAAAATAATCTCCATGGAGCAAAATGATAGTTGATAGTAAATTAAGGTACATTACATTAACTCAGAAGTAAAACAGTGCATTTCTCTAAAAGTTTAGATTTAAGTTGTGATTAGTGATTTTAAAATATCTTACAACATAATTGGCAGTGTTGAAATTTTTGTATGTAACTTTTTAAAGTTGGCTACATCACACAGTTTTTAAAAAGATAAGTTTTTCTTTTGGCAGGACTGTTTCATCTTTGCCAAAGTATTCTGCTGGACTAGAATTACTTAGTAGGTAAGTATTTTCATTTAGAGAGGAACGTTATACTTATTTTTATTGACTGTTTTTATTGATGATTTTATTGACAAATATTTTATAATTTTATAGATAAAATCTTAAAATACCTAAATGTTACCTTAATATAGTGTTTGGAAATTATTTACTTATTCTTTTCCCTAATGGCTTTCACTTTTCACTCATTAGCACATAGGCCGTTCATATTTTGAGCATATTGATTACTGTTGTATTTACTAGTCAATACTTTATTATGTGTTTTTATTATATGCATGGTTTCTCTGTTGTAAGAAAATTGATTCTAAATTTGAGAAGTCGATAATTTTTTACTCTTTTAATTTTATATCATGTCTCTTCCACTCCATTCTTATTGACATACAGGTTAATACTAAAGTGTATGGCATGACATGACACCAAAAGCACAAGCAACGAAATATAAAATGAAGAGCCAAGTGTGATGGCTCATGCCTGTAATTCCAGCCACTCAAGAAACTGAGGGGAGAGGATGGCTTAAGGCCAGAAGTTTGAGACAAATTTGGACCATGTATTGAGAATCTGACTAAAAAAATTTTTTATATAGCTGGGGTGTAGTGGCGTAAGCCTATAGTCCTAGTATTCAAAGAGGCTGATACTGGAGAATCACTTGAGCCCAAGAGTTTGAGACTGCGGTGAGCTATAATTACACCAGTGAACTCTAGCCTGAGTGATGGAGTGAGACTTTGTCTCTAAAAAAAAAGAAGAAAAAGAAAAAAGATAAATTGGATTCAATCAAAATTTAAGACTTTTGTGTTTCAAAGAACGTCAACCTAGCACTTTCAGCAGCTGAAGGGAGAGGAGCTTGAGGCCAAGGATTGGAGAGTAGCCTGAGCAACATAATTAAAAATAGAAATATGGGTGGCCGGTTAGCTCAGTTGGTTAGAGCGTGGTGCTAATAAAAATAGAAATATTAGTCTCTATGAAAAATAGAAAAATTAGCCAGTTGTGGTGGCACATGCCTGTAGTGTCCCAGCTATGTTAGAGTCTGGGACAGGAGGATCCCTTGAGCCCAGGAATTTAAGGTTGCAGTGTGCTATGTTGGTGCCACTGCATTCTATCCTGTGCAACAGAGCAAGACCCTGTTTTGGAAAAAGAAAAAAAAAAAAAAGAATACTATCAAGAAAGTAAAATGACAACCTACATAATGTGACAAAATATTTGCAAATTATATATATCCAATGAGTAACTTGTATCTAGAATATATAAAGAATTTTTATAACTCAATAATAAAAAGACAACCCAGTGAAGAAATAAGCAGAGGATTTGAATTAGATGTTTTTCAAAAGAAGACACACAGGGCGGTGCCTATGGCTCAGTGGGTAGGGCGCAGGCCCCACATACCTAGGGTGGCAAGTTCAAACCCAGCCCGGCCAAACTACAACAACAACAACAACACAAAATAGCCGGACGTTGTGGCAGGTGCCTGTAGTCCCAGCTACTCAGGAGGCTGAGGCAAGAGAATTGCCTAAGCCCAGGAGTTGGAGGTTGCTGTGAGCTGTGTTATGCCATGGCGCTCTACCAAGGGCAATAAAATGAAACTCTGACTCTATCAAAAAAACAAACAAAAAAAAGAAGATACACAAATGGTCAATAAGTACATGAAAATATGGTCAACTTTGATAATCACTTATGGAAATGTAAATCAAAACCACAATGAGATACTTCATACTCATCTAGCATGGCTATGATCAAAATGACAGATGGTAATTGTTGGTGAGGATGTGGAGAAATTAGAACCCTTACATATTACTTGTGGGCATGTAAATTGGTACAGCTACTTTGGAAAACATTTTGATAATTTCTCAAGAAAATTAGATATAGAATTACAAGTTGAGTATCCCTCATCCGAATATCCAAAATTTGAAATGCTCCAAGTCCAAAACTTTTTTTTAATTGAATCTGAGTCTCAGTGTAGGCTAGGTTAGAGTGCCATGGTCCTAGCCTAGCTCACAGCAACCTCAAACTACTGAACTCAAGCAGTCCTCCTGCCTCAGCCTCCCGTGTAGCTGGGACTACAGGCATCTGTCATAACACCCTGCTAATTTTTCTATTTTTGGTAGAGATGGGTCTCATTTTGCTCAAGCTGATCTAGAACTCTTGAGCTCAAGAGATACTCCCACTTTAGCCTCCTAGAGTGCTAGAATTACAGGTGGGAGCCATCATGCCCAGCCTTAAATTCAAAACTTTTTGAGTGCTGACATGATGCTCAGAAGAAATGCTCATTAGAGCATTTCTGATTTTAGATTTTTGGATTAGGAATATTCAACTGGTACAATGTAAATATTCTCAAATAGGAAAAAATCTGAAATCAAAAACATCTATAGTCTCAAACATCTTGGATAAGGGATATTCAACCTGTACCATATTACCTGGCAGTTTCACTCCAAGAGAATTGAAAACATAGATCCACATAAAAACTGCATGAATGTGCATATCAATATTATTCACAATAGCCAGGATGTAGAAATAGCATAAATGTCCATGAGCTGAGGAATGGACAAAATGTAGCTTATACATACGGAATATCATCCATCCACAAAAAGGGATGCAATATTGATACCTAATACAGCACGGATGAAAGTTAAAAACATTATGCTGAGTGAAAGGAGCTAGTACAAAAGACCACATATTACATGTTTTCATTTATATGAAAGGTACAGAATAGGTAAATCTGCAGACACACAAAGTAGATTGATTAATGGTTGCCATTGTTTGGAGGGAAGAGAGAATTGGTGGTGCCCGCTAATGGGCATCGAGTTTCTTTTGTAGATGAGGGTAATTGTTTTAGTTATTTATTTTTTCTGGTTCAACAAATTTGTATTTTTAACAAGTTAATTAAAAATACTCTGTTCTTTCTAATAACTCAAATTATTTTTTTATTAGATCATAGCTGTGTACATTGATACTGTCATGGGGTACAGTGTGCTATTTTTATATATAATTTGAAATATTCTCATCAAACTGGTTAACATAGCCTTCGTGTCATTTTCTTAGTTATTGTGTTAAGACATTTATGTTCTTCATTTAGAAAGATTCACGTGTACCCTTAAAAGATAAACCATAGACGTGATCCTACTAATTGCCCTCCCTCCACCCATCCTCCCCCCTCCCCTTCCCTCCCTCTCCCCTTTCCCCCTATTCTTGGGCTATAATTGGGTTATAGCTTTCCTATGAAAGCTATAAGTTAGTTTCATAGTAGAGCTGAGTACATTGGATACTTTTTCTTCCATTCTTGAGATACTTGGCTAAGAAGAATATGGAAAGACAATTTTAAATGTCATATCTAAATCACATATTTTTTATTTAAAAAAAAAACAGTGATAGAATGCACATAAAATATATCATCTTAATGATTTTTAAACGTACAGATAGGAGTATTGAGTACATTCACAAGGTCCTGCATACAGTCCCTCACAAGGTCCTGCATACAGTCCCTAAAACTCTTTTAATTTGCAAAATGGAAATTCTATACCCATGAACCAACAGCTCCCTGTTCCTCCACTTTCCTCCCCACAGTGACAACTGTCATTGTACTTTTAGCAGTTCTGTTCTCAATCTGTGGGTCGTAACCCACAGGAACTGTATTAAAGGGCTACGGCGTTAGGAAGGTTGAGAACCACTGAGGTACTTCATTGTTGAAAGGTTCTGGACCAAAGGATAAAATCATTCCAAGAAGCAAGAGGAAAGGAAAATGGAGATCCAATTCATGCAGTTAAAGTGGCTTTTATTCCACCTGGAGTGCAGGTGGGGTGAGATTCCTCACCAGGGAGAAGTCCACATGTGGGCTATGGTGGCCAGGGATTTAAAGGGTTAGGGCAGCCAGGATTGGTGGCATTCCTATTTCCTGGGAGGGACATGAGTGTGACCCTTCCTGGGCGGGCTATGAACCTAACCCTGTCTGGGTGGGGCAAGTTTATTTGGGTAGATACTTGATTCTGTCATACCAGCCTCTTTAGTTTATTATAAGGATGTAGTGTGGTGGGCGGGGCATCTCTTTGACAGCTTCTTGTGGGGGGAGGGGCTGCGTGGGCTGCATGGGCTGCCTGTAAGAATGAGGGGGAGTTTTTTTTTGTTTTTTTTTTTTCAGTTTGAGGTGGTTAGTATCTAGTAGGGGGAGGATATGAGCAGTTTTCTGGTGACTGCTCAGTAAATGGAGAGATGAAGTGAAGAATTGTTGATCTGTAACTGAGAATGTGAAGGATTATACTTAGTGACTTTAACATTAGTTGGGGTCGATAGGTAGGGGAGAAAGGGCAGAATTGATAGGAGGGGTAGCCAGAAGGAAAAAAAGAAGAAAATAGGTTTCTTCAGGGAGAAAACCTTGGAAGGTGCTTCTAAAAAACCATAGATGTTTAGCGGCTTCGAGGAGGTTGTTCCAACCTTGAACGTGTAAGAGTAGCCAGGCATTCTGAGAAAAGGAAAAAATCGGGGAGGAATGTTATGATTTAATAGGGCGTGGATTCCTGAGAGATCCTAGTGAGTTTAAGGTGGTGGGGGTCAGTACTTATGACTTCCAGTGATAGTTCTTCAGCATGGAAAGTTTTTCTGTAGGACACAGTTTTATTTGGGATCGGTGAATCCAAACTGGGGGGTCCACAAGGTGAACAGCTGTGAGAGTGCTGTAAAGAACCATGTGAGGGCCTGTCCAACGAGGAGATAAAGTCCTGCGGGCCAAAGGAGTTGAGGAGAGCATGTTGCCTTGCTAATAGGTCTGTGACTTTCTCTGCTGAGGATTGGGATAAAAGCTGATTGTTTTTCTAAGTTCATCTCTAGTTTCCTGGAAGATGGGAAAATAGTCTTCTTTGATAGAGTCTGGGGGAGGGCCAGGGTCTAGAATATTAGTTCTGCCATACATTATTTCAAAAGGGCTATAAAGAGGGCTTTGCGAGGGGTGGAACAAATGTAGAGTAAGGTGAGGGGACCACACTTTATCCAATCATGTTTGTGTTGGAGTACTAATTGTA